GCGGCTTTCTCCCGGTGCGCAGCGGTGGAGGAGACGGACGCGGGGCTGTACACCTGCAACCTGCACCACCACTACTGCCACCTCTACCAGAGCCTCGCTGTCCGCCTGGAGGTCACGGACGGCGGTGAGTGCGTCCTCCGCCCCCGCCCCCGCCCCGGCCCCAGCCCCAGCCCCGGCCCGCGCGCCGCTGACCGCGCCCCCTTCGCAGCCCCCGCCACCCCCGCCTACTGGGACGGCGAGAAGGAGGTGCTAGCGGTGGCGCGCGGCGCGCCCGCGCTGCTGACCTGCGTGAACCGCGAGCACGTGTGGACCGAGCGGCACGTGGAGGAGGCGCAGCAGGTGGTGCACTGGGACCGGCAGCCGCCCGGGGTCCCGCACGACCGCGCCGACCGCCTGCTGGACCTGTACGCGTCGGGCGAGCGCCGCGCCTACGGGCCGCCCTTCCTGCGCGACCGCGTGGCCGTGGGCACGGACGCCTTTGAGCGCGGCGACTTCTCGCTGCGCATCGAACCGCTGGAGCCCGCCGACGAGGGCACCTACTCCTGCCACCTGCACCACCACTACTGCGGCCTGCACGAGCGCCGCGTCTTTCACCTGACGGTGGCCGAACCCGACGCGGGGCCGCCCCCACGGGGCTCGCCGGGCAACGGCTCCAGCCACAGCGGCGGCCCTGGGCCAGGTGCAGGAGGCCGCCCCGGGACCCGGGAAGGCGGGAGCCCACGCCCCCGGGGCTGGCCTGACGTCGCCCCCTCTCGCCCCCGCAGACCCTACGCTGGGGCGCGGCCACAGCGTCATCAATGTCATCGTCCCCGAGGGCCGGGCCCACTTCTTCCAGCAGCTGGGCTACGTGTTGGCCACGCTGCTGCTCTTCATCCTGCTGCTGGTCACCGTCCTCCTGGCCGCCCGCAGGCGCCGCGGAGGTGAGGCTGCCTCGCAGAGCCAGCGGCCCCAGGAGACTCGGGGGGCGGGGGGCGGCCCTCTGGGCTGGGGGACTTGTGGAGAGGGCGGCACTGCCCCGATATGTCTCCTTCCCAGGCTACGAATACTCGGACCAGAAGTCGGGAAAGTCAAAGGGGTGAGTGGCTCCCTCCAGGCCCTCCTAGGGACTAGCCCACCCCCCCAACCAGGTGTAACCTCCTCCCACCCTCGCTTTCCAGGAAGGACATGAACTTGGGAGAGTTCGCTGTGGCTACTGGAGACCAGATGCTTTACAGGAGTGAGGACATCCAGCTAGGTGAGGGGTGCTGGGACACCCAGGCACAGGTGCGGCTCCTAGGCCTGGGCTGGGAAGTGCATCCTGGGAGGGGGGACCTCAGTCTGCTCTCCTCCCACAGATTACAAAAACAACATCCTGAAGGAGAGGGCGGAGCTGGCCCACAGCCCCCCACCCGCCAAGAACGTCGACCTAGACAAAGGTGGGGGAGCACCTCAGCCCGTCTCAGAGCCCGCCCCTTCCCTCACTGCACCTCACCCGGGACCCCCGAGGGCAGGCACTAGCCAGCCCCGGGGCCCTGCCACCTCCGGCTCAGAAGCTGGGGAGTGCTGCTGGGGGTCTGGGTGCCTCCCACTGGGATGAGGTGGAGAGCAGACCCTGACTCCTGGTACCCTTGGCTTCCAGGGTTCCGGAAGGAGTATTGCACATAGGGCGGCCCTGGGCTCCTGGCTGGACCAGCAGCTGCGCCTCTCCTGTCTGACCCTCAGGGCGTCTCCTGATGTCCCGGGCTTGCCCCCTTCTAGCGGCTGGCCCCGCTTTCCTGGAACTTGGCCTGGGCGTGTGCAGAGGTTGCCTCCACACCCCTCTTCCAAGGGTTTGGTGGCCGCATAGCCCTTGCCTCTTCAGCCTTTGCTCACAGGTGGCCTTGCCCACCGCTGGCACAACAAAGATCCCCCGGATGCCCATGAAGCCCTCAGACCCTCCTGGCTTCTGCCCGCTGGGGGCTGAAGACATTCCCGGAGGACATCCCCGTCAGAGCCTGGCAGTCTGGCAGCTGTGGTTAGCATCAGGGAAGGAGTCCCCACTCCTCCCGGGACGCCGCCTGCCACTGAGGGCTTCCAAGGGCTCCTGTGCCATGCACAAGTCCAGGCACCATCTGTTCTGCCCGAAGACCTGGTGACTTGGCGAATGCCAGCCCAGTCCTGGACCCGCTGTGCTGCTTTGGGCCACCTGGGGCTGCACCCCCCGCCCTTTCTCTGCTTCCACCCCTACCCTAGCCTTGCTCCCACCTACCTGACAGTCACTGGGCTCCCTGTGATTTCTGACTTGACACTCCCTCCTCGGCCCCTGCCTGGGCTGGAGTCTGGGGCTGGGGTCACATTTGGTTTTTGTACTGAGGACAAGGGAGGGGGTGAACGTGGTTTGGGGTGGCTGTGTTGCCACTCTCAGCACCCCATGTTTGCGCCTGCTGGTGGAGCTGCCACCACCACAATAAAGGCCATATCTGATTTTTAGATTTGGCCCAGGTATGCCTCTGAAATCCCATCTCCTGGGAGTCCCCACATGCCTTCCTCTGTCCACCTAAAGCCCCTGCCATGGCATAAAAGGTCTGGGTCTGGGTCCTCTGGGAGCCAGTGTCCTGGGAAGGGGACGTTTGAGCTAGTTCTGTGTGGCGTGCCTCTGGTTGTGAAAAAGTTGAGATCCTCGAGGGTGGACCTGGACATGGGGAGGGAACATGGTGAGGACCCAGGGGAGCAGCTCTCCGAGACACAGCAATGGGATGGAGTGGGAGTAGCGGGGTGCGGGTTGGACACTTGTAAAGGGGGCCAGAGCAAGGAGGCCTCAGCAGAGGCAGCCGGAACAGCAGGGCAGCTCCCAGAGTCCTGGCCAGGCCAGCACAGACCTGGCCCTAGAATCCATTCCCGCTCAGTTATAGGCTGGTCGGGCCCAGAATCTCAGCACAAATTCAGCGGGGTACGCGGGGGGAGCGGTGGGGGCAGGAAGGCCCACGGCCCGGGGTCCTGGCAGCACAGACCGGCGACAAAGGGCCGCTTCTTGAGGCCGGCATCACCACCCAACCCCGTCCTCCAGTCCTCCCAGGACAGTGGGGGTGGAAAAGGGTGCTGTGGCCCACGAGGACCCCACAGCAGCACAGGTGGGGAGGGAGGCTGATCTGGGGAGGTGTGGCTTGAAGATGCACCTCCCTCCCAGCCCGGTGACCTCTGGCCCCGCCAGTGCCCACAACGTCACGGACAAGGTCCCTCCTGGCAGGGCCCCAGCTGGGCCACGTCTGCATCGGCACCGGAACTGGCTCAGGCCTCTGGCTTCCAGCCTCTCTGTTGACTTGTCTGGGGTCAGGCCCCGGCATCTGTGTGGTTCCTCCTCTGCTCTGTGGCCGCTTGCCTGGGGCAGGGACTGGCTTCCTCCCTTCCTAGGCCCTCAGCGGACTGGCCCTCTTAGGTCTTCCTGCCTGGCTTCCAACGAACGTCTGGGGAAGCCGAGCGCTGCGGGGAGGTGGCCCAGTTTCCAGGCAGAGTGGGCTGGCTGCCGAGCTGGCCGGGCTTGGCTGAGCGGACGCCACAGCTCTCCCGCTCAGAGCCGGGGTGCAGGCAGGGCCAGGACACGGGGTCCAGCCTGACCGTCCAAACCCGGGGACCTGCCTGGGTCATGGGTCTCTCTGAGGCGGCGCAGCCCCGGGCATGGTCATGGCCCGACAGATACGAGAGTCCCAGAATCCTGCCGGCTTCCTGGGGACGGGTCCTAAGGAGCTCCACGCGCATCCACGCGCCCCCTTCCCCGTCGCTCCAGCCCCGTGCAGGCCCCTCCTCGCTCTCCCCAGCCTGGGTCGCCCTCTAGTGGCTTCCGCGCTGCCTGCTGGGGTCGGGCCGGGAAGGCCTCCAGCCCCGCGGGCCCCGGAGCAGCGAGCCCGGACGCCCAGCGGCCTCGGGGGGCTGCTTGGGGTCCCCCCTGCCCTGCAGAGGACCCCAGGACGAAATCCCTCCCGCCGCCGCGCGCTCCGACGCCTCCGTGCACGCCCGTGCCCACGCGCGCGCCGCTTCCGCCCGGCCTGTGGCCTGGACCCCGTGGGACCCGGCGCGTCCCCAAGGTCCCTCCGCCCGCCCCGGTCGCCCACAGGCCCAGCAGGACCAGGCCACACGGGGCAGCACCGGGGGGACTGCGGGCGCCCGAGCGCGCGGCGGGGGAGCGCGCGGCGGGGGGAGCGCGCGGCGGGGGAGCGCGCGGCGGGGAGCGCGCGGCGGGGGGAGCGCGGCGGGGGGGCGCGGCGGGGGGGCGCGGCGGGGGGAGCGCGGGCCCGCCCCCGGGGGCGGGGCGAGCGAGGGCGCCTGCGTCTGCACCGCCCCGCCCCGCCCCCGCCGCGGGCTCCCGTGACGTCACCGCCGTGCGCTCGGGCGCCCCCCCGCGGCCGCGCTCAGGGCCCCGGGCCGGGCGGTCCCTTTAACGGCGCGGCCCGAGGGGCGCGGGCGGGAGCGCGGCGGGGCTGAGCGCGCCCTCCGTGCTGCGTCCCTCGCGCCGCTCCCGGGCCGGGGCGGATGGGCGGCCGTGGGCCGCGGGGCAGCAGTCGGGACGCGCGCGGGAGCCGGGGGCGG